TTTTTGGCAATTCCCCCCGGACGGGGGTTTGATTGCCAAAAAGCCGGACATGTCCGGGAAAAACCGGACGTATGGTAACCCTAGTAAAACCCTCTGAACATACTTTATGTGAAGTGAAAATTACAGGCAGTAGCTACAGGTGACACACAAGCTAAATCACTATCAGATTTAGAAATATTTTATAGAGTCAGCAAATTGGGCTTCTCTCCCTCCAGTAGAAGAGTCTGGGACTTCACACGATGAGAAGACTGTTAAAACAAACCCAACAGTTGCAAGACTTTTCTGCTGCTCCTTCCTCTTTTCAAACATCTCCACCAAAAACCTCAGCAATGATGCGGAGTTGGTGACCCTGAATCGAGAAAGGGAGCAAGGTAAATAGCGGACACTGCAAAGAAAGTACAAAGGACAACCTCAAGTGAGGTTGGGGGGAGGGATAGCTCAGTGGTTTGAGCATTGGCCTGCTAAACACAGGGTTGTGAGTTCAATCCTTGAGAGGACCCCTGCCTTAAACCAAGGAAGTGCCTTTTCAGTCATCTTAAATAAATTTCATTTAACAGATTATATTTCTCCTCTTCACTACGTATAACTAAAATACCCTCTTTAGGTTTACAGGGATCATTTTTCCTGTTTCCAGTTGGTAAATACTAATTCCTCCAACACACATACGTTCCCTCTCCCCAATCAAATCTTTTGAAAGGACCTAAAATGACCATAGCTATGTTAGTTTAGTGGATTCTATAACATATATTAAAAAGTCATGCCCAAATATGCCTGTCATTCACCATCATCAACTGACATCAGCTCAGCCTTGGGATTGTTATTTGCCTGAAGAAGGAGCACTAAATATTGGGGCTTTTTATATTTTGGGGAAGGAAACCACAAAAAGTATCCTTCAAAAAAGAATTCTCAGCAAGCAAACAGTAGACTTAAAAACAGTCATTTACAGCCCAGAAAGCAATTTCCCTCCCCCAGATTATAATTAAGGCTGCGTGTCTGTCACAGAAGTCACGGAATCCGTGACTTTCTGTGACCTCCATGACTTCTGTAGTGGCCGCAACAGCAGTTTGGGTCTGTTGGAGGGGGCTCAGGGTTGGGGCAGGAGGTTGGGGTGCAGGGCAGCACTTACCTTGGGGGAGCTCCCCAGAAGCGGCTGGCATGTCCCTGCAGCTCCTAGGTGGAGGGGCCAGGGGGCTCAGTGTGCTGCCCATGCCCACAGGCGTCGCCCCGCAGCTCCCATTGGCTGCGGTTCCCGGCGCTTGGGGCTGGAGCAGCGCGTGGAGCCCCCCTGGCCGCCCCTCCCCCTAGGAGCTGCAGGGACATGTCGGTCGGAACCAGGTAGGGAGCCTGCCAGTCCCGCCAACCCTCCCTCTCTCCCCCAGCACCAACAGGGGTCCCGGGCCGCACGCCACTGCCTGCCCCCCCCCCAACACCCACGGTGCCCCCAGACTGCCCCTCCAGAGCATCCACACACACACACGGCCCAAGTTTTAGTTAGAAGTATATAGTAAAAGTCATGGACAGGTCATGAGCCATGAATTTTTCTTTACTGCCCATGACCTGTCCATGACTTCTACTAAAAATACCCGTGACTAAAACGTAGCCTTAATTATAATCTAGAAAGGTGGTTCTCAACCTTTCCAGACTACTGTATCCCTTTCAGGAGTCTGATTTGTCTTCCATACCCAAGTTTCACCTCACTTAAAAACTACTAGCTTACAAAATCAGACATAAAAATACAAAACTGTCACAGCACACTTGTACTGAAAAATTGCTTACTTTCTTGTTTTTACCATACAATTATAAAATAAATGAACTGGAATATAAATACTGTATTTACATTTCAGAAATACTGTATTTACATTTCAGTGTATAGTATATAGAGAAGTATAAACAAATCATTGTCTGTATGAAATTTTAGTTTAGTTTGTACTGACTTCGCTAGTGCTTTTTATGTAGCCTGCTGTAAAACTAGACAAATATCTAGATGATTTTATGTGCCCCTTGGAAGACCTCTGTACCCCTGGTTAAGAACCACTGCTCTTGAGTATCCCCACTGATAAGAGGAAGTAAAGTCCTAAACCATAAATAGCTTTAGAGATCAAAAACAGCATTGTGAATTGCACCTGGAAGGCAACTGGAAACTAGTACAGACTATATGTCATAGGTATAATAAAACCCCTGTGTGAGCTACCACTTAGTCAGCAAACATTCACATTGAAGACTATTCAGGAAGAATAGTGCACAAGGATAGTCACATACAGAAAGCACAGTAGTAGTCTAGTCTAGCATTGACAAAAGTATAGATACTTATAGTGAATTCTGCATTGTAAAGTAAATGGGGCTCAAGCTCCTTGTCAAACAAAGTCTTTTGGGGGAGGGAGCACTCTTGGCCACTGCTGCTATCTGGGCATCCAAAACAAGACAATGAAATCAAAGTTCCTCAATTATAACCTTACTTACAAATGGTAAACATACCTCAAACCCTTCAACCTAACGGGCTATCAGCTCCGACACTTGCTATGTATGGTGTTTTTTCCTATCCACCAACATCACTGCCATTATGTCTGTACGGAGCTTCAGAGATCAAGCTCCTAGGCCTTGCCTACACAAAGGGAAAAGTCGATCTAACCTATGCAATTTGAGTTACGTGAATAGCGTAACTCAAATGACGTAGCTTAGATCTACTTACCGCGGGGTCCACACTACGCGACGTCGATGGGAGATGCTCTCTCATCAACTCCCCTTACTCTTCTCAATCAGGTGGAGTACAGGAGTCGCCAGGAGAGCAATCGACGGTCAATTTAGTGGGTCACTAAATCGACCGCTGATGCATCGATTGCCGCAGTGTTGATCTCTGGTAAGTGTAGACAAGCCCCTAGTCAAGCCCCATTCTTGACAGACAATGGGAAAGACAAGTGACCAAAGCATCTGGGTCTAAGTGTTATCAGCATGTCGATGGTACTGCAGCCCAAACCATCTCGCTATCTCCAGTAGTGGCCTCACATATACATTTTACATTTAACAGGCACAATGATGACAAAACCCAGCAATACTCTCCAAATACCAACCTCTTAACAAAATTGTCAGCTATATTTTGATTTAATGACATACAAGGCAGAATAAAATCTATCTTGTTCTCCTATACCTGTATTAGCTTTGTACTGCTGACACTTGTT